GAACATTCCACCGCTGTTCGGCTGGCGGTGAGGGTTCACCTTCACAGACTTTTGCATTTTACGCTTCCTTTTGTGAACCTCTCCAAGCACTGGTGTCTCTTTCACAGACTCCAATGTCAACTGGTCTTCGTACGGGTCAGGTGGCTCCATGCCAAGAACAAGAGACGTTTCAATGTCCCAAGTCTCATCGCGAACGTCGGGCAATGTCTCTGCCAAAGAATGATAAATCTCAGTGAGGAAGGAGACTACAGACGCACGACTCTGTTTAATGACTGCAGCGTTTGGGCGCTTCAAATAGCGTAAGTCCACAGGAGGCGAAGGGAATCCATTTTGACCATGCTTTTTCAGCCTGTTGAAGCGCCTCGAACCTAGACCCACGAAACGGGCTGGGATGAATGGCTGACAAACGCAATCTATAGTAAGTAGTTTGCACGGACTAGCAACCCTGACGCGAAAACCAAAAATTTCCACAAAGTAGTCTAAGTAGTCCTAGGGGCCGACACCGTGCAAGACTTTCCAAGCCTTCAAGCACACAGCCTCCTCTAAGAAGGACCATTTGCAAGATCCACTGCGCAACTTCTCCAAGATGGTCGTGTACACCTGGCATAGAAAGCCGGCCGAAGACAATAAGGTGTGTCTTGGCAGAACACGCAAAGACAATCCATCTCACATGGTCAAAACAATCAAAACGGTTGTTGAATGGACAGCAAGGGCACTGTTTGGTCTTGGTCTAGCTTGTGGAGTTCACACCGTTCTCGACGGAATTCTCGTCGTCCAAACGAGATCTTTTGCGTTTCACTCCCGAGCTTTGCTTGGGCTGCGGCACGCTTTGACCTTCTGATTCTGTGTTTCCATCGTCGGCATCGCTCAAATCCACTACGGGCGACAGCGCGCCGCCCGCCATGAGAAACTACGAAAGAAACATTGACGGTTGACTGTTGAGTTTCTGAATGACACCGATACATTAACACATTGGCAAAATAGTCCTAATAAAATCACTTGCTCCTATTTATTGAGGTCGCGCACGCAAATTCTCCTCAGCGCGCGGGCTGTTTCGCGCAAGAAGCGGCGAACAAGAACCAGCGCCAACCGTCCCGGTTCAACGCCACCACCTCCGAACGAAAAAGGCCAAAGGTGCATTGATGTCTCCCTTGGTCGGCTTTAGTCGTTTTTCCACGGCCAAGTTAAACAAACAACTACAAGTGGTGTTTGGTGAACAAACTAGAACCTAAACGTTTGCAACCCGAAATCAGAGGGAAGGGCAACAATTAAGCTAGTGTTCCTGGCAGCATCCACTAATGAAATTTAGTGGAGTAGAAGCAGCATTGGTGTGTCTAAAAGTCATGGTCGCGCGATGTGACAAAGCAGAATTGGTGCGTCTAAAAGTCATGATGTCGCACGACATGACAGAGCAGCATGGGGCGTCTAAAGTCACAATGTCAAAGTCAAGCACAGCACAAGCTGGGAACCCCATTCATTTTGGGAACCCCATTCAAAAGAAAACTCCTTACTGAAGGATTTCATCAGTTCCTTCAAGAGCATGACATTCGTCTCCGAATGATTGCGCCTGAAGCCCACTGGCAGAACGCAAGAGTCGAACGCCATGGGGGGATCCTTCAAGCAATTTTAGACAAAATGGACAAAGAGAAAGCCATTAGCGCGACAGAAGAATTCGAAACCGCCTTGTCTTTTGCCACACAGATCAAAAATAAACGGTCTCGACATAAGGGTTATCCACCAGAGATGTTAGTCTTTGGAAAGATGAGCAAAACACCTGGGTCAGTCACTAGTGACATGTCCAATGCCTCGCGTGATTTGGCCCTTCAGAATACATCCGACGGCTTCAAATTTCGTGCCAAGCTGGCCATCTTGAAAGTGCTCGGAAGGCATTCTGCGAAGTGGATAATTCACAGTCACTTCGGAGAGCAGAACACCAGCGGACTCGCCCAATGCGGACGGTATACCACCCAGGTGATTGGATCATGGTGTGGAGGAAAGACAACAATTGGTTTGGACCGTTGAAGATCATACTCCAAGAGGACAAGAATGTCATTTGGGCTGTACTAGGCAATAGACTATTTCGAGTGGCCCCCGAACATGCCAGACCTCTGTCCGCAGTTGAGGAAGTCCAGCATTGGCCACGATCACCAAGACACGCAAGTGACTTTAGGCAACATTCGATCCGGAAACGCCAGATATGCTGATTTGTCCAACCCCGAAGTGGCAATACCACCTCCTGTCGCTCCAACTTCGAATCAGGAAGGAAGCATAGAACAACCAGACCAGGAACCAGGAGTCCCAAATCGGTTCGATGTGTCACAAACAAATTCCGAACAAGAATGCACCCCAACGATTCCGGATACACCTGAACTTGAAAGTGCTCAACCTGCACCCGAGAATATCCCCATACCGGATGATGGAGATGAGGATTTGTTCTGTGAGGCATTCAAATGTGATAGCGAAGGGCAGGCCTGGAGGTTAGAAGTGGACATTGACTTGAGGGATATACAAATGTGGAGACAAGATCCCCAACCAGCAGAACTAGCCTTCCTAGTATCCGCCTCGAAAAGACTGAAAACGGAAGTGAAGCTTTCCAATCTACCCATGCCGAAAGAAAATTGTTAGATGAACCAAAGCCAAAGAAATCCAGAGCTGGCTGGACACTCAAACAGTCTGTCGTATCTTGCGTCACAAGATCCCACAACAGAACATTTTAAAGTGCCGGTGGATTTTGACCTGGAAGAACGCAGACGACAATACACATCTTAGCGCTGATAGCAAGAACGTGACCGGAAAGCAAAGGCACGCTTAGTCATCTTAGGATACCAGGACCCAGAATTGAGCAATCTTGAACGGGACAGTCCCACGTTGTCCAAAGTGTCCAGAAATCTGTTATTGCAGATGTGCGTGTCCAATCGCTGGGAGATCGGAAGTTTTGACATCAAAACGGCATTCTTGAGGGGCCGCGCCGACTCTCGAATGCTTGGACTAGAGCTGCCTGAAGAACTTCGAACTTCGTGCCAAGCTTGGCCTTCGACCGAATGAGGTGTGCCAACTGCTTAAAGGAGCATATGGGTTTGTCAATGCCCCACTTTTGTGGTTCCGTGAACTGTCAAAGGCATTAATTAACCTCGGATTCCAGCCAGCACCCTTCGACCCATGCAGCTTCATTCTGTTCGATGAAAACAACAAGACAAGAGGGTTCATCGGTGTCCATGTCGATGATGGTCTCTTTGTTGGGGATTCAGTGTTCCATGCAAAAATCAATGAACTGGAAAACCTCTTTCCGTTTGGAAGCCGCAAGAGACGCAATTTTGTTTTCACTGGTCTTCAAATCAACCAATATGAAGATTACTCAATCCATGTTGACCAGACCCAATATGTGAAGGACATCAATCCAATAAATATCCACAAAGATCGAAGGAAAATGCTTGAAGAACCGATCAACGACCAAGAACGCCAAGACCTTCGAGGATTGATAGGAAGCCTGCAATATGCATCAGTGAACACACGACCCGACCTTGGCAGTAGACTCAGCTTCCTACAAGGAAAAGTCAATAACGGGCAGGTTCAAGATCTCATCGAAGGGAACAGGTTACTTCGTGATTCATGATGGCATTTTCAGATGCATCCTTTGCATCAGAAAAAGTTCAATCATCCCACCAAGGTCTTATGATTATGGCAGCACACCAGGACATTGGGAAGAACAAGAGAAGTGTCGTAAATCCCCTCATCTGGTCATCCAAGAAAATTCAAAAGGTGGCAGTAAGCACCTTGTCGGCTGAAGCCATGGCCTTGGCCGGGGCAATGGATATCCTTGCCTGGTGTCGACTGTACTGGGGATGGCTGAAAGACCAAAGCTGCCAATGGAGGTTAGGTGACAAAACATTGTCAACACTCCCTCCAGCATTTTCCGCTTTCAAAGATGAACCAGACCTTGTCGATCCCAACCAGTCGCTAAGTGAAAATCTGATAAAGCTCCAGGAAATTGGAAAACAAGATTCACTAGTAGCCACCGATTGCAAAAGTCTTTTTGATCTCGTCAGTCGCACGGCTCCCCCAGCATGTCAGGAGTTCAGGACCCTTCTCCAAGCCCGACTGATTAAAGAACACCTGGCCACACGTGTAGTTGCGCAGGTGTAGTTGCACGATGGGTTCCTTCGAGCGCTCAAGTGGCTGATTGTTTGACTAAAATCATGGATACCACCACTCATGCACATAGGCCGGTATTTGCTCAAGGACGAGGAGGAGATTCTTCGTCGTAGATCAGACAAGAAAGTCAGACTCAAGTGGATTCGCAGCCATGAATCAGCAGTCACGCCAGAGCATGAATGAGGGAAAAGCCACGACGTCCCCATTCAGCGATGAGCGAATTTCGCATCCACCCAGGAAATTCAAGATACTGCAGGTTTTGTTTGTCGCTTTGCTCCACAGGCCAACGAGGTTTGGCTAAATCTTGTGCAATCGTGTTTGGGAAGATAACTGGATTGGACCACAAGAGCATTGCAAAGCTTGGGAAATTTATTCAACTGAATAAATCTTTTGTCAAGGGGAAGAACTGCAGCAATGTCAACATGCTCAACAAAATTTAAATACAGGGAATGTCAATTTTGGCCTTGCTGCATGTCACATGTTGACCGAGAAACATCGTTCGCCATTCGCCACATGCTCAAGGGTGGGTGGGTGGCTGATTGATCGTACGAGCCATAGACAGCTGGAGCACTCAGGGTGGTGAAAAGGAGCGGCTGTCTCTTGAGGTGGGCTACGGAGGACGTGAAGCAGGGCTTCAAACTAGTTTGGTGCAGGAGCACCCTTTCTCATTGGTTGGACAGGGATTCAACAGGGGAATTCATTTCTTTTGCGTGTTGAGCGTGAGTCCAACCACCGGCTGTCTCCCTACCAAGTCGAAGCCGGTGTGGTTTCGATATATATATATATATTATATATATTAATATGTATATATATTGTTTTTAAAAATATATAGATATCTAATCTCCGGCCTCCGAAAAGAGAGCGTTTCCCAGACTTGGCAGAGTGTCGCAGGTCCCTGGTGAGCCTCCGGACAGCGGCGCTGGACGAATAAGACACGCAAGTGGAATCCACTGGAGGGCACATGCCGGAGCAGGGCCAGGAAGTGGAACCCATTGCCTGTCAACTGCGTTTGAGGATGACTTGAAGGGGTTTTCCTGCAATTGTGTTTTGAAAACATACCAGCAGAACGAATCGCTCCCACAGATGTAGCCACTGGTACTGCGGTAGCCATTGGGGCAGGTAAGAGGGCCTCTGGATTTCAAAACGAAACCAGCGCTGCTCTTCTTTCGGAGATGCCGAAGATACGATGTCGCGACCACATCTCTTGCTGAAAAGTTCACTGCAATTCGCTACCAAAATGTACGTACTCTGATTGCAGCTTAATCTATCGCATGCAAGAACCAGTAGAAACATTGTCATAATATGTCATAATGGGATAGGCTCTACTGTATCTCCAGAAAAAGGCGACATGGCAAAGCGTGTCCGCGAACCATCGTGCGCCGGTGCACTGGTACGCTGGCACTTACCATGGCGGCTGTGATCGTGCTGGTTATGCTGGTTGCGGGTTATGCTATCTGGGTGATGCTGGCTGCGCTGGTTACACCGGCTCCGCTGATTATGCTGGTTAGGCTGGTGCTCGGTGTAACCGGTGTAACCGATGTAGCCGGCGTCGGTGTAACCGGCATAAAGTCAGTGTGGCCGGTGTAATCCGTGTAACCAGTGTCGTGTAACTAACCGGTGTGCAGCAAAATTGTGGACAATGATTCCACCAGCAATGCACAAAGAAACATGTTTAAACAATTTAAACTAGACGACGGATGGCCCGAGAGCGTTCAGGTGTAGGAGAAGAGAGAGAGAGAGAGAGAGATGTGCAGATGTGAAGATGTGCATGTCTGGATATGTGTGGATGTGAGTTGTGATTATATGCATGCGATGCACCTGTTCTTTTCTGGAAGAACCCTTCGCTCACCTGGGAAAGATGTTCTGCCTGCTTCTCGGCAGTATATATTATACAAGCATTTAGCATGCATCTATTGTACCATAGGGACGGTTTGCAACACTCAAGACATCTCAAGACCATCCACGCTAGATGGGTTTCATGTTTTCCACTGTTTCCCCTGGCACGCGTCCAAGCTCCAACTTGGCAACATCCTTCAGCTCATTTCAGCTCCCAGCATGTGGACCCAATGGCCCTCTCAAGGCAGAAAGTGGACTCTCCTGAAGACGTCAACGAATTCAGATCTGGAAGCATCTGGAAAATATCAGAGACAGACATGCCATGTGAGTCACGTCAAAAAAAAACTTTGTGGCAGTTGAACATCGCTAGTAGGTTGGAGGCCATCGCTCTTTGTTCCCTCATGTTGAGGGGCACATCCGACTTGCCTTGTATTGGTGCCGGGGAATTCTCTGGGCATAGCTGCTCTGCGCACTTCACCTGCAGGTCTTTTTCCCACATCTCAAGTTGGACTCCCGAGCAATTGTCTCCGTGTCTTCCTCAACGTCCGACAGTGTCGAATCCGCGGCGGGCCTCGCTGGTTCCAGGTGCAGGGACTGGCCTGCTCAACGTTTGGACATGGTTGGATTCAGCATGATTCTGCCATGTCACTGAAAAGCCAACTATCAAACATGTCTGGCATGTTCTAGAATTGCTGGGCTGGTGTGAGGTTCTTTTATATGCGAAAAGAGTAAGCAGGCTCTCGGTAACATCGAAATATGGTTCGACGCCTCCATAAACCAGAATCTCCACACTGAAAGTGTCCAGATAGGACGCTCCCAAAAGGACATTGGACATCCTGCCACAGAAAAATTGGCATGTGAAATGGAATATCGGCATGTGAAATGGAATCTGCACCAACTGAATCGCGGACTGAACAGTTGTCGCCAGCGATCGCAGTGACCTTGGGGAACTGCCAAGCACTACAATAGGTCATATCACAGGACAAAGGAAACCTCTTCAAGCAATCATACAACACCTTCCTTCTGCTTAACCAACAAGTAACAAGCATCAATAAACTACCTCAACCATGATCAACCATCACATGAACCGCCATTCAGGCGCCGGGGTTCACCCTCCTACTACTCTGCCCTTCTCTGAGACTTCCACGCACAACCTCCCAGAGGCCACAGCTGCCTGGTCGGAGCCCGGCACCGAGGGCAAGGGCAAGCTGCAGGTGACGCGTTCGCACGAGGGCCTAAGTGCCACACCAGTACTATTGAGGCCATCGCTATCTATATATTAGGTTGGAGGCCATCGCTAGTAGTTGGCCAAACGGGACCCGACACTATGACGACCGTTCGATGATGACCTGTCCACTGGCTAGGTTTGAGTGCCAGGCAGCGGTGCAAGCGGTGCAGTTGGGTCGGACCTTACGAAATGAATCGTGACATGTCCCGACGCTACTAGGGGCTCCTGGCCTTACTAGGAACAATGTTTGCTATTAGAAACAATAAATACATAGAATTAAAATAAAATTACTGTAAGTCTAATTAGAATCAGAATTGAAACAAAAAACTAACTAGGATCTTTTCGCAAGTGTCATGTCACATCCATGGCTTCCTTACTCGATCTTCCTCGCAATTTACGAGTACAGTGTGTATCTACTGTCGGTATCGTTTCTCCAATTGAGATGGTAAATTTGAGGTTGCTGCGGCAAATATTGCTGCCAGCCAAGCTGCCCACAAAACAGATCAGCACTGGGTCCTCAGCTTACCGGCGGGAAGGTTAAGAAAAAGGCTGGATTCGGCTGAGCTGGAGAACTAAAGCCCGCAGAGCAAGACAAAGGGCAAACCTTCGCAAAGCGGCTCCGCCGACAGGTACGCCGACGGCTTTGTGGAGGCAAAAAGAACGGCCCACCTTCTTGTACTGCATACCAACACATCGCACAAGTGCTTCTGGCACTGCATGCTCGATGAAACCTTGGAGACTTCCGAAGGCGCCGAAGCGAAGCGGCTTTCGTGCCAACCTTGGCAAGATCAAAACTGCCCAGCCCCGAGGCTCCAGCCCACTTCCCCACATTCTCGCCCACAACCTCATATCGTCTGTCAGCCAAGACCTTTGCCTCGTACAATTCCCTACTCTCTCAGCCAAAGCCTTCTGCGGGCCTAGTAGCAAGAAGCTACTGGGTGGAGGCCATCGCTAGTTACTAAACAAGAACGACGCATATTAAAAGATTCATCTGGAAAAAGCGGACGCGTTGAAGCCCGGAGTCGAGGAGTCGAGGAGACGGGGCGACGTTGAGGAGCGAACTGAAGACTGGTGGCGAAAGCACTCCTTGAAAGCACTGCAGCTGGATCTCGTTGGGCCTCGTTGCCGGAGCTGATCGCTGCTTGAGATGTCTTTGTCATCCTTTTAGAGTCCGTGGCCCTGCCTCCTTACTTAATTAAGCAAGCGCCTCCTTAATTAAGCAAGGGTGAAAAGCAAATGCCCCCCTTTTGGCGCTCTCGGTTCGAGCCTGGTTCAAGCGAGGTGACACGTGTGCAACCAGTCATGTGCTATCATGTTCAAGGGTCATCGGAATGCCACTAAATCCTATCACCCCCCCCGGATGGCTGGACGCACACATCTACTGCATGGACGTAGAACTCGTGTCGATCGTCCTTGCAGATTGCTGCAGGCGTGGTGGTGATAGCATTGCCCTGCTGTTGTCATCGTCCACTCCTGTCTCTCCAGCATGAAACTTGTATGTTCCAACTGATCTCGCGCAACCTGACATGCAGCGATGGCTTCCTGCTTCAACTCCTTGTGGCTTGCTTCCCATAGTGCTATGGCCTCCTTGGCCTGCTTCAAATCCTCATTCAACCTTTCAATCTCCAAGTCTTTCTCACTCGGATTCACGGCCATTCGTTCCTTCTCTCTCAACACTTGGATGTAGTTCTCCCTCAACTCATCTCGTTCACTGTTCCAGGCACTGTTGCATCCACATGTCTCTCTCTTCTTTGATCTCTTTCATCCTTTCACGTCGCTCTTCACAGCTTGCCTCAAGCTGTATGATCTTCCATTGCATTTCAAGCGTTTCAACTTTCGCCGGATCGGCCTCATACTCGATCTCTGATGGCTGTGTCGTTGTTGCTCCTGCCTTCCTTTGCTTGCGCTGCATCAACTGTCGTACTTTGTTCCATACCCACCGAGCCAAGCTCAAGGCTCCGACAGCTGACAATGTGCAACTGTAAAGAGCAACCTTGTCCACCACAACTCATCACTGTCCTCTGCACTGATTGCTGTCCTTGTACTGTTGCTGTTGCTATCTGTTGTATTGATCTCCCTTGTCACATGCCCTTGGCTTGTTTGCAGTAGAGCCATCGCGATGATCAGGGCGCTCTTGCATTTCCTCCTAAGGCTTTTGACAGAACTTGAGACCTTTCATCCTGGCCTTGCTGAGGATCTTCGCCCCGATGTCACTTGTATTGACTGAAGTGGGAACTCCAGTCACCCTCAACTCCTTTTCGCCGACTTTCTGCTGGAGCCATAGGAGTCCTGCTGCAATGTGCCTTGTCCTCCCCACGCCAACTCTTCCAGCGAGGGATCTGGCTGCTGATGAAGAACTGCGGCAAACCATGTCAATGTCTTCTTCTGTAAGAAACTGCCAACAGTGTTTGAGAAACAAACCTTCACTGCAGCCCCCCACCATTGCAACATACTCACTTTCTCCTGAGGACAATGCGATGGACCGCTGACGACGTACATAGCTCTCCATGAGGCTACCGTTCAAATACAGCTGCACTGAACTCACTGAACGGCGGGTGTCTCGTTGTCCAGCAGCATCACACATCACTTCCAGCAAATGATTGCTGTCATCCACACTCCATTCATAGATGTCCTCGTTGGTGTTGAGCACGCTCTTTCCTCTTTGCCCATGCTCCAACAGCAAGCCTTCGTCCATAGTTCCCAGAAGGTAGGAACTCACATGTTGCATAGCTTGCCATCCTTTCTTGGTGGGTCTCTGCATCAATGAAGCCAGCCCTTGAGCCACAAATTGTATGTCCGGCCTGTCTGGTGCAATCTATAGGAGTTTTCCCACTGCGCTTCTGTACAACGTCACCTGTGCTGCAGGCATAGCCTCGTCATCTTTCTTCAGCTTCGTGAAGTTACCATCGCCTGGTGTCGATCTGGGCTTCCTGTTCAACACATTTGTGACTTTGGCCAACTCTTTGATGTGCTCTTGGTCTGGCCTGATGGCGATGCCCTTGTCCACGATCTCCATGCTCCTCTTCAGGTAGTGGAATGGACCTGCATACAATGGCCCCCTCTTCTCTACCTTCCACAACTTGGCTTCCATGAACTTGATGAATCGCTCAACCTCCTCTTCAACTCCAACAATCAGCAAATCATCGACGTGGATGGTCAGGTAGAGATTTCGCTTGTTCACTCTTCTTAGATGACCTCATCGTCGTTGGTTGCATTACATCCTGCTCCAAACCAAACTCTTTGGCCACCTGACAAAATCCTTTGAACCACTGGGCAGCTGCATTCCGCTGGCCTGGCAGATTCTTCTTCAATCTGTACTTGCCATTCTCTGTGATGATCATGGCTTTCTCGTCTGCCGGCTGGTCCATCAACAAGAACGCATCTTTGACATCTAATGTGTACAAGGCATACCCAGTGATCATCTGAAGGTGCAACAGCATACGGACGACCACTGACGCTGAGGTTGGTGCAAAAGCATCTTCTGTAAACACTGACCACTTGAACTGGTGGCCTACCAGTCGGGCTCGCCTGAACCAACCTCCTTGTTCATCTCGATGCTTCCAGGTCACCACCATCTTTGAAGTCAAGACATAGGAACCTTCCTCCTCTGTCTCTTCCTCCTTCATCTTTTGCAGCACTCCCATCTTCTCAAGGCGCTCTTCTTCGATCTTGCATGCCTCAGTGTCCAACACCTTCAATTCCTCAATTCTCCTCATCTTCACTGATGTCGTTGACAACCCTGCAAGATCTTCTCAGCTTCCAGTTCATCTCCTCCTGGAAACATCTCCTGAACGCTCTTGATCCGCTTCTTAGGGCTTGCAGCTTCATCATCCTTCTCCCACGGCATGGCAAAGAGCTCACGCTTCATGCTTCCCTTCAGGAATGGCATTTCTGGCATCTTTGAATCGGGCTCTGCAATCCTCTGTCTCTTTGGACTCTCCTGTGGATCCTCGGTCATGAAGTTCTTTGCTGGTTCTCCTTGCATAGCCTTAGGTATTGGCAGTCTCGCTGGCCTCTTGTACTCTCCACTGGCCATCGATGCAGACGTGGTTCTCGCCTGTTCATCTGCCACCTCACCAGCGCTTTCAGGCTTCTTCGCAACCTTTGGTAATGGAGTCCTCGGCACTGGTGTCTTCAACCCCGGTGTGAATAGTGCCGGTGTCATTCCAGGTGTTCGTGCTGTCTGAGGTAGCGCAGGGGTTTGATCTCCACCTCCACGGCCATGAAGCCCCAAGGCGACTTGCTCACCAATCTGCCTTGCCTCATCTTCAACCTTCTCATCACCTGCTGCATCTTCTTCAGGCGCTGCCAGCCTCTGCCTTGCTTCAAATCGTGCCCTCATTAAGATGCCTTGCACTGAGGACTGCCATGGAAGTCCTTTGCATGCTACCAGCATTTGTCCATCGAATTGTTCAGGCAATGATCGACTGGACCTGGCTTCGACAGCTCCTGCTCTTGTCAAACAGATGTGACTGTCGCTCCATGCACTCTTTCCAACCCAAACTCCTTTCTTGTAGACTGGCTCTCCTTTATGCTTCAATGAAGCCACGTCCTTGAACAGGACAACTTCTCCCCACAACACCACCTTTCCAGCATACTTTCTGTCAGTCATCATCTCGTAGGAGGTGGCACCACTGATCACTCTGTATCTTGTCAACAGCCAAGCAGCATGTCGAAAGGACCATGGATACACATGCATCACTCCAGTCAGCTTGACTCCAGCCTTCTCCTCAGCGAATGCTCTCAAGGTGTTTGCTAGCTTTCGCACTGATTGGACTGTTCTTTCAGCTTGTCAATTTGACTGATGTTGATCACGGCTGGTGGTCCTGATCTCTGAGCTCAACCCTAGTGACGCACGGGCATGTTGAATGGCTCTCAGTATCTGTCGAGTCGATCGCTCACCGTCAGCTTGAAAGATCATAGGCTGTCCTCCACCGACTTGCATGCTGAACCTGGTGATCTCCTCGGTAACCTGTTTCAATGAGACACTTCCTTTGGCAGCTACTGGGATGCAAACGACTGCCTTCGTCTCAGGCTCGGCAACGTACAATGCCGTACCCAGCTGCTTCTCCTCTTCAATACCTCGGGTGTACGTGTACCCAAAGTCGAAGCTGATGATGCTCCTCCCACGGTCTTTGACTTCATTCCTGTCTGCTTCGGTTCGGGCATCTTCTTTTGCACGGGTTGCAATGCAAGTCTGACACCATGCCTGATAGGGGATGTGGGTAAGTTGATGCATCTCCTGTTCATGTCTTGATGGAAGCTTTGGAGTTGGAACGGGCACTGCTTCACGGCGGGCTTCTGAATATAGCCTCTGTGCCACTTCAAATGCCACTCTCTCTTCTTGCTTGTACTTGTACTGCTGTAGGCGACGCAGAACTCTCATCTTCGATCCTGAAGTGGGTAATCCCAGTTTCTGGCATGCGCTTTGCAGCTCCTTCAACTTGTTGTCCT